TGTGTGTGTGTGTGTTTAGGCAGCAAACCTCTAAAAGGAAAAAGTAATGGACATAAACACCTTCCACTTTAGCTTCAAAATCAGATTTCCAGGTTCTTTAATATATTAGTGCTTGGGATCTTTACAAGAAAACCAAAGAATTCCAATCAGTCTGGGTACAGTAGATTTTATTCTGACTCAGTTCTCCCTTCTTGATCCTCAAATCATCACTTAAATTTCTAGATTTCCACAGACTAGGAAAAAAAGTCCTGTTGTCTATCTAGAATCCTCACATGTTTGACTAATAAATAAAATTATGTCACTTTCCTGTGTATCACAAGCTCTTTAATAAGAGAAAGACAACTGCCCACCCTCAAAGTCAATGGAATGGAAATGCATATTTTTTAATCAACGTACTGCACACACCCCATTACCAAATAAAGCGGATCAGCAGCCTGAGAAACCAGCTGGGGATTGCTGGTAACTTTCTAGTGACCAACTAAAGTGAAGTTTCAGCATCTGGTCCTTGGATCAATTTCTAGGTCAATCTCAGTATCTCCAGAAACATTTTTTTTTAAAAAACCATTAATTCATATTGGAAAATATTTTTCTTTTGTTACTAATTTCATTTCTTTTAAAATATTCTGAGAACAAAACACCTAAAAATATCACTTGTTTCCATTGATGTATTCTTCATTAGTTGGTTCTTGCTTCTTTTCCTCTGAAGCACTAGCTTCATCACTAAGCCACATCTGGCTGGAGCATTTCGTACATGAGGTTAATAACTTTATTACTTCATTGTATTCTTGAGCCTGAGCCCCACTCTCTAAAACTTTCTCCAAATATTTTCCATCACTAAACTAGGTATGTGATGAGCTCCTTTCCTAGGCAAGAATAGAAAAAATGCAAATATTAAATGCCAAATTTCAATTGGCAGAACTGACTAATGGAATTCTGTAGACATTCTGAGAATCAGCACATCTCTGTATGTACATCTTGAGGCAAAAAGCAGAAATACTTCTTTTCAAACTGATGAACACCACATGACACCAAATCTCTACTATTAGAAGGGCTTCTATGCTGCAATGTAAAATTCCCCGTTAACAGCAAAGAGAATTAAAATGTACTTTAGTATTATTTATAAGCAGTTCTTAAACTTGATTAATATTCAGCATAGATATATTGAGGACATAATGATACTATCAAGGGTACCTGGTTAGTTTGACATATAACTCTGTCACTTCATTGTATGTGTAACTACTGGTGGCTGTAAGTCATTAAGGTTTAGTCTACAGCTAATGTCAACATGAGAGTGTGCAGTGAAATTAATCATAATTTCCAACTTTTACTGAGCACTTCCTATGTTCCATGCCCTTTTTTAAGCCCTTTGTGTGCATTATCTCATTTAATCCTTAAAATTCTATGAGAAATGTACCTTTTGCAGATGAGGAAACTGTACCTTTAAAGGTCATGTGATTTGCTCAAGATTCCATTTAGTTAAGCGGTGGGTCAGAATCTGAACCCAAGCCATCTGAATCCAGAGCCTATGCTTTTAACTATAAAAAGCCAGAAAAAAAGAGACCTGGTTTCTCCATCCTTTCTTTATCTCTAGCCTCTTCTACACACACATGTGAAAATCAGACCACCTCATCAAAACAATAGATCTGAAATCCAGTTCAAACTAGGGGAAATAAAAAGATGAAGAGAATTAAAGTAAACAGTAGTAAGTGTTCTTAAGCATATTTAGTTAACACACTCATTAGATCACTGGATTAGCCAATGCTTCATCCCCTCTGGAAGCAAGACTGATGCAAGTTTCTCTCCTATACCTACCAGTACTGATCCCAATTACAACAGATCAAAGGATTCCTTGGTAGGTATCTTTTCCCAGCCCTCTTACATGAATCCATAAGATTTACTGGAACAATTTTTAAAAGCAAAAGAACTTTAAAACAAAACAAAACACCCCCCAAGAGTAAAAGGGGAACAATTTGGCTTCTAAGCCGTATACCTAATAAATCCAGTTGGTTCAAAAATATATCTCTAACTCAAGGAAATCGGTGAATGACACTGTTGGAAAGAATTGAACTTACTATAAAGTATAAGCCCATTTCCTATGGAAAATGCAATGATTTATTTCTTCAGTACAAGCTTTCCAGCAAAGAATGCCATTGAACAGAATGCCTTGCTGTGACTGGCTGCATACTCTACCCAACAGAAGATATACAAGCAAAGAGGAAACACGCTGTCTAGAAAAAATATACAATTTCCTTTTATTTCCTCTTCTCAGTAGAACAACTCTTCTTTGGGGACCAAATCAGGGACTTGTAACAATTCACCACATAATATTTTCCATTCTCACAGCCAGTAAAAATTAGAAACCACCAGAGTCAAAGAAAATGGCCCAGCTATTCTCAGAAAGGCAAGGATTTCTGTGGTGGGCACCTCACATGGGCTTCTTAGCTAGTAGGAAGATCGGATGCCTGGAATCCAGATACCCCCTAAATTAGCAAAACCCATTAAGAAAAAAACATAAATCCTTTAATTGCTCTATAGTTTACTCCTGCTTTGCTGAATCATCAGCTGTAAGGATGTGTGGTGAGAAAGAAAACTGTAAAGAAAGGTAGATGTAAACTGGGTGACTTCAAAGTACTAGGGCAGACTGTAGGTTAATTAGCTGGTCAGTTGTGGGGCCATAGGAGGGTTCTGAGAAGAGCGGTGACAGGACTCTAACCTGTGGAGGTGAATTGGTGACCGTTCTAGACAGCTGCTGAGAGAGTTAAGAGGCCCCATTTGATGGAGGTTATTTTGCTGGTTAACTGCCACTGAATTTGCTTACAATTTATTTTATTTCATTTTAGTTATATCAATCCATGACTTCAAAGAGCTCATCTATTTTCTATTATGATGCCTATTAGAAGGATTATATATGTCTTTCTTATTAATTAATTCAATGGTATGGGATGTACCTTCAGAGTTCTGATGCTTAGAAAACAGCAGATCTCTATTTCATATGTATGCCAATATCAACTTAGCCAACAATGTGCTCACTAGAGTATAATGGAAGCAGCAGTTTTTGACTTCTGAGACTAAGTCAAAAAAGGCCTTGCAGCTTCCTCCTCAGTTACTACAACACTCCCAGAGGGAGCCCTGAGTGCATGCAAAAAGGCCGATTATCCTGAAGAGGCCATGTATGGGTGGTCCAGTGCACACACTCCCAGATCCGCCCAAATTTCCAGCCAATCTTGATAAAGCACCAGACCTGTAAGTAAAACAGCTCCAGATTCTGGACCCCAAGTATTAGAGTCATCCCATGGAGCAGAGACAAGACTTTCTGCTCTACCCTGCCTGTATCCTTGACCCAAAGAATCCATGAGCATAATAAATATTTTTTACATGATTAAGTTTTAGAGTGGTTAACTAAGCAGCAATGGATAACTGGAACCATACGTACAACAAGAAAGGTGATAAACCCACTGGTTATGAAACCCACACCTGGAATATGATACTTAGTTCTACATGACATCTTTCAAAAGATTAAAAAGCAAACATGCTCAGAAAAGAATAACAAGAATGTTCCTTTATGGGGAAAAAATGAGAAAACTGGAGTATGTGTTATATACAAACACATACACATACCAAGAGTATGTGTTAATGGTTCTCAACTGTTTGCAGGGCTACCATGAGTGAAAGTGAAAACAATTACTCTGTATTCCCAGGAGGATGGCCTAGAGATGGTGGACAGAAGTTACAGGGAGTCGGACAGAATAATTTTCTAATGTTCAGAGCTTTCCTGGAAGAAAAAGGCAGCTTTGACAGGTAGCAAGTTCCCTAACTTTAAAGGTAATCAAGCACAGGCTAGGTGATCATTTGATAAGTAGATTTGGAGAGAACTAACTTATTGAACAGAAGGTTGAATGAAATACCCTTACTTTAAGGTTATACCTTAACACTGAGATGTTTTTCATCTAAAGATCATGCCATTTCCTTGGGCCAAGAAAACTAATCCCAACACATGTTGAGCAGAGGAAAAATACAAGATGAATAAATTAAATGAGAGGCAATACCAAAGTATAAATAGAAAGTGATGCAGAACTCTAGAGGAGAAAGGAATGGCGAACCAGAACACACAATCCAGCACAACAGAAAAAAATTTTTTTTTAAAAAAAACCTTTTTAAAATTTAGAGCATGAAGAATGAGCTGGGGAAGAGGAAAAAGAAAAGTCAAAGAACCCATCATACACAACACTGGGCATAAAGGATGCCCTCACCCTTCTTGAGAAAAGATTTCACTGATTTTTAAGACTTATCTTTTCTGTTAGTGGGAAAGACAGACCAGAAGAACATGGGTAGCACAGCAATCAAGGTAACAAGGTTCAAGCAGTAAAATTAGCAAAGCTCTTCAGTGACCACAGGATCTGTGTGCCTATGGGATCAAGTGCACTCTTATGGATACAGCTGTCTCTAACGTCTACATGTGGAGAATGACTACTAAGGGAAGCAAGAAAAACTTGACGTAAACCCTTGCTTCCTAACAAAGCCATGTGAAAAAGAAAACACAAACCACCTAGAAAATGAGATGTGTCCAAAACACAGCCATGGAGAAAACCAAAAAAAGAAAGGAAAAACAATAAAAAGCTATTGCATACACATTGTGTATGAATTTTATCATCATTTTTAATCAACTTCCAAGGTTTCATAACACCCTTTAACTTCAGTTACTCAACCAACTGAACAAGTCATCTCATTGTTACCCCATTTGAAGACAGAGTGGAGCCTCTTTTGATGTTGATAAGAGATAGAAAAATGAGTACACCTTCAGGATAGAAGAGTTCTGTGTAAACACCTGGAGACTAGTGGTAGGAAGTGATGATAATTTGTCTCTTGTGTTAACCCTTTCAAAGATTCATCAAACCAGAAGTTGGAAATTCACGTAATCAGCGAAATGTAACTTTTCTCGTTTAATACAACAGAATTTTTTCTTTACAAAAAGAGAAGAAAAATTCTATCTTATTACTCACCCATTTCCTAGGTCTGCCTCGTGGCCGTTTTTCTCCAGTGGCTTCTGCTTTCTGCAAATGAAAAAGGAAGTCATTATAGTTTCCTACCTGACATTGTTTGTAAGTACTGCACCAAGGGACACATTTGAAGAAGGAATGTTCTGCTTTGCAGATGAAGTATCAGGGTTGTTTTAACAAACTCCTTCTCCTCTAAGGTTCATCTTTTCCCACATTTTTGAGTAGATTCTTCTTTATTACATGATGTGAAGAGGCATCTATGCAACCCCTCACCCTAAAAGACTCCTGCTATAGTGATTTATTTCTGAATACATGAAAATGCTTTTTTAAAAAAGCTATTTTGCTTTTATTTCTGTCCATATTAAAAAAAATCGCCACATTCTGTAACTACACAAGTTAGTATTTTAGAAAATTAATATTTCTTAAGATGATCAAGATTCTTCCCATGTCACAACTAAAGTTGCAAAAATTAATATTGATATATTGCTTTACAATTTACAAAGCTCTTCTACCTATATTGGTAGTCAAAAACAAGTCTAAATGTAAAAAAGAATACGCAAGCATTCTAATTCAAAATAACAAACGTTTGCACACTTCTACATGGTTAATTTCTTGTCTCTTGCCTGAAACAATCACCTGTCGATCAGTTCACCTAAAGCAGAGAGAAAAAAAAAAAAAGCAGGCAGAAATCATCAGTTTGTACCAGTGACGGAAACTATATGTGCCTAGAAATAATGATTAATTAAAAATGTACTTTATTAACAATAATTCCACACTTAACACAAATACACCTTTATCTTGAGAGTTTCTTTCATTGCTTTAACTTCATAGATTTTTCTGGTATCACAGTTGTTAACATTATTTATAAAGCAATTAGTTTTTCTGTTTTTGTCAGCCCTACTCCGATCTTCAAACATAACAACACACCAGTGCACATGCATACCACATATATCTATAAAAACATGCATGCATTCATACTTTTTAGGATAAAAAAACTTAGCACATATTGTTCCATGTATAAGAATCATCCACAGCTATATTAACACACAAATATGGGTAACCTGAACCAGGATACCTTGTTTCACATTTTACTTTTGTTATCTGAGTTAGCAGCCAGTGGGGGTACTTGGTACAGTGATACTGACTGTCTACACTGCCAAATGAAACTTTCCTCTTTTTCTCTTCAATCTGCCTAGTAAAAATAGACAGATTTACATGATAGTTGACAAACAGATAGATGGATAGGCAGGCAGACAGACATACAGGTAGATAACAAAAATAAGCCACAACATTTCTCACCGAATAGTATCTCCCTGATCTGGCATTCCTAGGTCAACAGGTCCCATGAACTAACCCAAACTCTATGTGATTATAATGTTAGCTCACACTTACTGAGCATTTAAAATATCGCAGGCACTCAACTGTCAGTCACACGTGTTATGTTAATCCTTACAGCAGCCTTATGAAGTGGGTATTATCATTTCTCTTCTTTCGTAGATGAGCAACTAAGTCTTAGATAGGTTAGGTATACAGCTGGCTCAAGGTCACACACAAAGTGTCAGACCTGGGATTTGAACCCTATTTTGTGTAACTCTAAAGACTGTGCTCCTATCCTTTTAACAATGCTACTTCCCCTTAGGATACAGGCATTTGCTATCATAAAACATACGTTAGGAAACTAAAATTGTCACTGATTCAGTTAATTTCCCAGAACAAAAGGAAACCTGATAGTCTTTAGGAGTTCTACCTAACCATCAGATGTACCCTCTGAATCATTGTTTATTACTTTTGAATGGCTCCACAGGGGAATCATGTATTGTCAGAGGTCATTGTCTTACCTTCAGTTCCAAGGGCATGAATTGAGTGAAAGCCCAGAGTGCCAAGTAAATCACACCCTCTTCAGGCATTGCCTCATGGAGAGAGGGAGGTGTCCTGAGAAGATCACAGACTACTTTGGAGAGTTTAGATTCCAATTCCTGTTCTGCTATTTTAGTTTTATGACTTTGGGCAGGTCCTTGAAGACCTCAATTTGGTTTCATCTGTAAAATGGAGATGACACCTCCTGTGAGACATCATTCCTCAAGGTACTTAGAAGTGCCTGCCTCCCATGAGGTGCTCCATAAGTGTTCTTTCATTCCTGACTAGATGGAACCCTTAAAGGGTTCTTCAAGTTAGTTCCCTCTCACAGAAGGTTTGGTCAGTGCAAGTATTCCATGACACTCATCTGTCACCTTTAGAATGAAGCTTTTAAGGAATCCTTTGGCTACTGCATAGTGAGTTATACATAAGTACAGAGTTCTGTAGCACAGAAGCAGCATCTGACTTAATCTTTGGGAGCAACTGTTAAGATTGCAGTTTACCCAGTAGTAAATTATACAAACATGGAAAATAGAAATCCTTTTTAATGGGAATGGGGGTGCAAAGTGGGGGTGGGAGAAGGAGGATATTGACTTTAGGAACTAACAGTGCTACATCAGGCTTTTTCTGCGAGGTTTTTATGTTTCAGGGGCCACGATGTGATCCTGGTGTATCAAAATCTGTTGAAGGGAGAGGTTTGTTTTCTTTTTTTTTTTTTTTTCTAAAAGGGTTTCACTACATTTCAAAGTCAGAAGAAACAAATCTCTCAAAAACAGAAAAAGCCCTGTACATAAGATGAGTTTTAAATGAGCATCTCATTTACAAAAAGCCTATTGAGAAATAAAATTTGCACCATTAACTGAAGGGCACAATATCACGATTATCACTCGGACTTGTTAAAAGCAAACTTGCTCCTTGGTCGTTCAGGCCAGTGTTACATGTAAACTAAAACCCTCTTCTGAGACTAAATCTAGGAGAAACACATTAGCTGTGCTGTGTGGCGACGATCTGGGAGGTTTCCATTGTTCTTTAAAACCCGCACTATTTAATCATTCTAATCAAACTCCACAAAGTCTGCAAAACAAGTTAGGGTTTCAGTTTGTAAACCAACTTAGATCCAGGATTTTTACATATTGGAAAACACCAGCTTTAGTATTGTTTTCCTGTGTTTAATGCTCTTCAGGATATTATTTTTCAAAAAAGATAAACAAAACATTCAGGGGGCTTGTTTTAACATATGCAATACTGTAGAAGAGTATATTTGGTTTTCCTTTGCCAGAATAGAATTTGGTTTTATACTGCAAACCCATATATAACAGACATAACTAATTCTACTTGTTGCTCACATCGAGAGAGAAAAGGGAAAGATAGTAGGAATTCTCATGTGTAAGAACTGAAATTTCAGACTGTTACCAGCACTATTACACTAATATTTACAACAATCATATCTCATTAAAAGTGTCATTTCCCCTTGCTTGCCCTCATTCATATTTTTTTGTTTTAAATTTTAGATTCAAAACTGTATCCTTAATTTTATGAGATATTTAGAAGCAAGTCCATGAGGATTGGGAGAAATGTTAAATGGGAAATATGATTTTTTTTTCTCTAAGAAGTTTTGGTACTCTAGGCTCTTCAGTGTACTGCACATTTTAAAAACTAATTAGGAAAGAAATTAGCAAACACATCTCTTGAGCTTAAAAACAGTGCTTAGCACTAGTGCCTGGTGTACAGGACATGTTCACTACATACTTGTTGAGGAAGGGAGGGAGGGAGGCAGAGAGAGAAGAAAGGGAGAAAGGGAGGAAGAAAGGGAGGAAGTAAGGAAGGAAGTAAGGAAGGAAGTAAGGAAGGAAGGAAAGGAAGGGAGGGAGGGAGGGAGGGAAAGGAAGGCAAAAAGGAAGAAGGAAGAGGGGAGGGAGGGAGGGCAAGAGAAAATGGAGAAAGAAAGGAATGAAACATGTTTATATTATATATGTGTCTTAGTTCTCTCTTCAGAATTCCAGAGTTCAGTAAAACTTTAGAAATAATTTCACCTAGCCCTCTCATTTAACAAAGAAGAAAATGTCTGGATTTGCCACAATCCCCAAAGACATAGCCCTGTGGTCTATTTGGGAGCCAGAAGTCTTGATGGGTATCAGTCGCAGAAGGTCTACATTTCCGATCCTTTTTTAACCTTTGGAGTGGCCCTTCAAAGGTCTCTCAAAGCCTAATTTCCAACCTGCATTTCAGGTCACTGGAGATAACAGAAATCTACCTTGTAACAAATATTTTACAGAACATTCAGTAGCACATAGTAGTAGAAAGAGTCCAAGCTTTAGAATTAAAGTGAATTCAAACCCAGGTGCTACCATTTACTAGAGTTGAGTATCAGACATGTCCTGGTTTACATCTTTGAATCACAGTTTTCTCATTTGTGGAATGAAGGCCACAATGCCTAAATCAGAGGATTAAAAGAGCTAATATGCATGTAAAGTGCCTGACAAAAGCTATGGCATTTAGCAAGTAGTCAAATGTAATTTCTTCACCCTTCCCTTATTTTAAAGTGCTACCCACAAAAATAATACTTACCAATTCTATAAGTTTCCAAAATGACTTTCCAAGCATTATCTTACTTAAGTAGGGCAGGGCAGCTGTTACTTCTCCTGTTTTACAAATGGGAGATTAAGCAACCTGCCCATGTTCACAGGTAGTAGAACTGAGACCCAATCTGATTTCAAGGCAGTAAAGTGTCTGTTCTTTGGACAGCTACTCCCATATAAAATAAAACTGCCATGGGAAAATTTAAAAAAATAGAAGATAACCTTCTAGGGTGAAAATCAAATTAATTAAAGCAATATATTTTCAAGTTTCCTATAAATACATGGGCAAGAGCAGAGGTTAGAAACTAAAAATAATTCAATTCTGACTTCAGGGTCAGGTATAGATGGCTATTAATTTTTTGCTATTACAGGTTCTCTCATCGTATTTTTTTATGTACTATGATACAGCCAGAACTCCCCCACTGCAAATTCATCAGTGCATCTGTACAAAAAAAGGACTAGAAAAATATTTGGTGTGATGGTGCCCTATTTTGTTTGCCTGTATCTCGATTTCCATGAAGCCCACTATCCAAAGCCTAGAAAGCACATTCTATTTCCTTCAGTTGCTATTTTTAAATATATAAACAGTATAAATCAATTTATACTGACATCAAAGTC